TCAAGTAAATATTGTATTAACTCCACAAATGAATTTATACAAATTCTTCTGTAAAACCAAACAGCCAAATAATCGCATCTTTGAATGTACAAAATTTATTTACTAATGTCTCCGTCAATGAAAAGATTGAAATCATTATCCGTGATGTATACAACTTTTCCCAAACCCATCAATATTAACCCACTATTTAAAAAAAAAAAAATATTATTAACATGTAGCACTCAAGTACTTTTCATGACCCCACCACATAGGTAATATTTATACTCAAATAGACGGTATTGCGATGGGATCTCTTTTAGCCCCCATTTTTTTTCTAATTATTATATGGCACATTTAGAAAATAAAATACTTAATGACACTAATAAACTCCCTATATATGTAAGATACATAGATAACGTTTTCATTTTCGCTAAAAACATTAATCAAATTACACAACGTAAAAACAAATTTGAAAGTCACTCCGTCCTCAAATTTACATTAGAACTTAATATTAATTACAAAATTCCATTCCTTGATGTACTTATTGATTCCAGTACACATAAATTTACTACTTCTCTATATAGAAAACCCACAAGTATTAACTCGTGTCTTCTTAATTATAATAGTGAATGCCCCCAACAATATAAGTTAGCTGTTCTAAAAAAAAAAAAAAAAAAAAAAAGACTTAATCCAACGCACACAAATGATATCTTCTTCCAAAACTATATTCTATAAAGAATTACATAACATTAAACAAACACCTGGATTTCCTAATTCCGTCATTGATCAATAAATTAAAATATATCGCAATAAATTTAATAATACCTCTAACAAAATTGATAATATTAATACTAATAGTGTATGTCAAAATAAACATAAAACTATTTACTTATACTATTGTAACCAAATGCCTAATAATTACAAACATGATGAAACAACTCTCAAAAGCATAATAGGTCGAAATGTTAAACTCATTAATAATAATAAACAAGTTAAGCTCATCGTATATTATAAAAAATTTAAAACAACTGACCTCATAGTCACTAATAACCCTACAACAACAAAACTAAATCCGCTCCAAAAAATAAAACAATGCAATGTATCAATTTACATGCCCGTTCAGAGATTGTAACTCTGATACTAATAATAAACCCACTACATATATTGGTTTTACTAAAACCACACTCTCCCGTAGACTTACCTGTCACCTTTCTGATTTTAATTCTATTAAACAACATTTCTTAGAAAAACCTAGCTATGTACATAATATTAGACAGATATTAGTTAACAACACAATAATAGTCCCACATACACACAGTAAAAAGAAGCTTCAGATATTGGAGGCCATCTACATTAAAACAAAGCAAACGACACTCAACAAAATTACATTTCAAACTAGTCAGAACACATTACATTGCATCTAGACATATGATTCTGTTGTTAAAATTTCGGTCTCTCACGTGGTACGACGTCATAGAACCGCATCATGAATTTACGGACTGCGTCTGGTATTCCGCGACCGTTATCGTCGAATAGCAATCTTCTATGTCAACATAACAGGATATCATCTTTAATGGTGAGTATGTTTGTCATAAGGAATCATGATATATAATTTTTTTATATATTAAGAAGAGTTTTGAAAGATAATCTGTATGACAAATTGTAAAAACTGTCAATTGTCAAATTCGATGGGAGAGTCCATCATATATATATATATATATATATATATATATATATATATATATATATATCACAAATTGGAAAAGGTTTTTGAGACGCATTAGTGTGACTACACATGCGCGGAAACGAGAGACGCTGGTAGTCTCAAAATTCTTGACAGGATTTGTTGTTTCTGTTGCAATCTAGCCAAATTCATCTATATTATTTTTTCTTTTTCTTTCATCTTTTTTTTTAAATATCCTACATGATGATAAAATAAAATACGCCAAGAATGGTGAAACGTTGTAAGAAAATTTACTGTGTCCTTTTAAAAACAACACACAAAATGCATTTGCTATTTACCATAACGAAACTGACCTCGATTTTGACATAAAATTTCTACTCTAATCAAAAGAGAAAATAATTCACTAATACAAAAAAAGCTACAAAGTGTTTTAATAGCCAGTTCATCCACAGTCAAAAAAAAAAATTCTTTCAAAAATTTTGAAATTACCGGCGTCTTTCGTTCTCGCGCATGTGTAGTCACACTAACGCAGACAAACCAAGTCAATAAGTCCAAACGGATGAAACGCGTCACAAAACCTTTTCCATTTGTCATATATATATATATATATATATATATATATATATATATATATATATATATATATATATATGATGGACTCTCACGTCGAGTTTGACGTATGAGGTTCCGACGACTTTTTCAAGACTGTCTCTATTAATATTTAGAACTAATTACCTGCATGCCTATAGCTACCTGTAGTCGACTGATTCATTACTTCTTCTTGAATGGCAGCTGGAACGATACTCTGATCTCTCCTTAGCAACCTCTTCAAAGTTCTTGAATGGAATGTTGATTCAAGAAAGGTTGGTTTTCAGTTTATCTTTATACCTGAGTCATGTATGTATGTATATATATAACAAAATAAATTGAATAAATACATAAAATAAATGTATAAAATTAAATTAAATAAATAAAATTGAATGCTTTTTGTGTGGCTTCCTTTCCAATAGCCGTTAGGCATGACGGGACGCCAGACCATTTCAAACTTCCGGCTTCCTACTGGATACCAGGACGTAAGGAATTATAACTACGATATAGGCATCGCATCGGTTCTAGATAATGACAATGATGGCCGAAATTACTTGAAGACAATATGAACTTCGGACAGTTTATCCACAACTTCGGTCAAAATACTCAACACTTTATCCGAAAATTGAAAAATTGTACAAATATAATAGAAAATTAAATTTTGTAGGTTCTTTTTAATAAGACATGTTTCGATGAATACTTGTTCTGAAATATATATATATATATATATATATATATATATATATATATATATATATATATATATAGATAACTAGACTCGTTTCGAAAAAACCCTCGAATTTTTGATTTGCTAATCAAATCAATCTCGAGGGAAAAAAGGTTTAAAAAAGAAAAAGCTACAAACATGAACTTTTTGCCGACAAAAAAAAATCGCACAGATGCAGGTCTGAAGCCCAAAGAAAAAAACCCCGATACGAGTAACAACTAACTAAAAAAGAGCTCAATACAACCGTAGAGCAGACCTAGATACACCTAGTGAGCCAGACAAACCTACCTAGGTTTCTCTAAAACGGATCGTCAGGTTGTCTGGCTCACTAGGTATATATATATATATATATATATATATATATATATATATATATATATATAAATGAAATATAGTCTTAAGATGTGCTATATTTATGCGATAAAGTGCTCAATAAAAGAGATAGAGCGTGTAAAATATTAAAGTGTACATAGAAGTCAACACTTAGAGGCGACAGTCTGTTTCATGCTAGTTGCAATCGTCAGACCTGATGATAATCAGAAAGAATATATTGGATAAACCTCAAAAAACCTCAAAAAGTTTAAATAAATTATATGAACACAAAAGAGACATTCTAAAAGAGACCACATTAAACATATCAATTGTTCACCGTAACGAGACTGACCACAATTTTGACATAAAAATGCTGATCTAATTAAAAGAGAAAATAATTCACTAAGACGAAAATGTATAAAAAGTGCTTTAATCGCTAGATCATCCGCAGTAAACTTGCGTCCAGTTTCTTACAACGTTTCACCATTCTTGGCAGATCTTCTGTTATCACAATTTGGGATATTTAATAACAAAGGTGATGCAAGCGAAAAGAAAAAGAATCTAAATGAAATTGGTTAGATTATATACACCAAACATATAAAAGAAAACTAAATTTAAAAGTCTCAGCCTCTCTCGTTCGTGTTCATGTGTTGTCGCCAAAACTAGTCCAATGAAGTTCTAAGGGACACACAAAAACTTTTTACACTTTGTCCGACATCTTTCCTCCAAAATTGTTCTTGATATATAAAAATTTATATATCGTTATCCCATATATATATATATATATATATATATATATATATATATATATATATATATATATATATATATACCGTATGAGGTAAACTATAGTGTATGAAAAGAGATACAGTAGGAAATAAATATATATATGTGGTCGGAAGTGCAGCAATCCCATTTAATTCATTCCCCGTTATTGGTAGACACATATTTAAAGTGCATTTTTTTGTTTGTTACTTTTCTTCCTTTTGTTTCTTTTTCAATCGTTCAGGTCCCGGCAAAAGGTGCTGACTCCTTTTATTAACTTTTTCGAATTGCCACGCGCCAATATTCGCGATTCAACAAATTGCACAAGGCGTCCACCTGCTTAGGGGCATCTGACGTACAAATCCCGGATCATTTCAAAGTTCACAAAATGTATCGGTGTGGATGAAGAAGAGGCAGGGGGGGGAACATGCGCTGGTTCTCTAAGAAACGAAAATGTCTTCTTTTTTTTCTCTTTCACCTTTTTTTCTTTATTTTTAATATTTTTGTCTTCCTCAATCTGTTTCTTTCGTCTGCTTCGTCTGTTTTTCTACTCTTTCTTAATTCTATTTTCTGATCATCCTTTTCTTTTTCTCTTCTTATTTCGTGTTCTTTCTTTCTTTCTTTCTTTCTTTCTTTAATCATTCTTTTCTTTTATTGTCGCTTTTCGTTTCTTTTTCCTTTATTTATTCTCTTTTCCTGTCTATTCGATTTCTTTCTTTCTTATTTACAAATAATTTCTTTTTTCTGTCTCTTTTTTATTATTTTCTTTCTTTCTTTCTTTCTTTATTTATTTCTTTATTTCTTTATTTATTTATTTATTTCACCTTTCTTTTCTTTTATTGTTGCTTTTCGTCTCTTTTTCCTTTATTTATCCTCCTTTCTTGTCTATCTGATTTCTTTCTTTCTTAATTACAAATAATTTCGTTTTTCTATCTTTCTTTCTTTATGATTCATAAGTTATTCTTTACTTTCGTTTTTTTTTTTGCTGATAAATCATTTTGTGTCACCTTTTTTTTATCCAGAAATTATTTTCTTTTTCATTCAGAAAATGTTTTCTTTCTTTCTTTCTTTCTTTCTTTCTTTCTTTCTTTCTTTCTTTCTGTCTTTCTTTCTTTTCAATCTTTCTTTCTTTCTTTCTTTCTTTCTTTCTTTCTTTCTTTCTATGATGTTATTTGTTATTTGACTCTTTGTTTTCTTTTCTGTCATTTTTTTCTATTTCGTTGGTTTCTATTTTTCTTTTTCTTTTTTTTTATTCCTTTTACTCTTTTTTCATTCATACAATTATTTTCCCTCTTTGCGCCTTTTTTTAAAAAAATTCTTTCTTTCTTTCGTCTTCGCTTTTCTTTTGTCTTCTACCTCTTTCTGTATCGGCTGCTCTTTTACTCTTTTCCTCACTTTTCACTTAATTCTTTTTTTTCCATCCTAATTTATTCTTTCTCATTCCGTGTTTCGTTTCATTTCTCTAGTTTTATATGTTCAACCATCACTCACACATTAACTGTGCATATCTTATTATGTGTGTGCATGTATGTCCATCTTTGTAAGCATATGTATGTTTCCTGTGCGCCACTGTGATTTTGTATGCATAACTTTATGCTTGTAGGTATTTCGTCTGTGTGTGTATATATATGTGTATCTTTGTATGTGTGTTTGCACCTTTTTGTGTCTCTGTATCTGTGTGTGTGTGTGTGTGCATCTTTATATTGTTGTATATGTTTATACGCATCATTGAAGGTCTGAATGTCCATGATGTATCTTTCTGTACCTTTCATTTAGTTTGTCTTTACAGCCATATCACGTTGAAACACTGATTCCCGTACGATCAGCGAAGTTAAGCCACATCGAGCCTGGCCAGTAGGAGCCTCCATTTTGTCGCTGAAAAAATAGATATGAAGAAAAAAGGCCTCAAACTTAATAAAAACAAAGTTTTATCGACAAAATTTTTATACTATTATTAAGAGGAAAACCTATATATATATATTTTTATTACTATTTTATTAAATTTTTTAATAATTCCTAGCACGTTCGAAATTTGGGTTAAAAATCTTGCTTTTTTACATCTGCGGTCTACGTAATATTTACGACTATTGTTTTAGCATCTTTTTTCGTGTAAAAAATATTGATTTAGAAATTTTTGCAAAATTCAAATAATTGTGGAATATTAATGAAACCCTCAGGACTTATTCACAAATAAATCAAATTATTTTTTAAATAGTTTTTTTAGAAAATCTTGGTAAAAATATTTTACTCCCCCCCTTACTTAATTTCATGAACTTTCGAGAAATTAAATTCCAATCTCAAAATTGTTTTTATTAGTTGAAAGCGGGACTCCTTGGAGAATGTAAATCATCCAATTTTTCAAACAACTACTCATTGCCCGAAGATCTGCTCTGAATCGTAAAATAAAAAATACAATAAAACTATGATATTATTTAAATAGAACAGTATTTAATGGCTTTTATAAATAAGATTTATGACGGACTATTGTCTTAAGAAAAAAAACATTTTCGTTGAATAATTATTTTTACAAGAATTGTTTTCATTTTTTGAAAATTTTAATTATAATATTTTATAAAATATATAAATCGTTTAAAATTCTGCATTATTTTAATCCGGTGTGGAGATATTGTTATTAAGTGAACACGATATTTACGAATCAAAAATTGAAAAGCTTTTGCACCAAGATTTTTAAAATATCTTTTTAGTCCATTAACATTCGTATTTTTGTAAGTATGGTAGTCCATACATGACATTATCATTAAAAGGTTACGTGTTTTAAGAGTTGTGCTCTCTTACTGAAAAATTTGGCTGTCTGCAATTCTTTCATTATTCATTTCTGTGTTTCATCATGTTTACGTCTCAACAGGCTTTGCAAATCATCACTTCAACATTTTAAACATTTAAATAAAAGTAAGTTTTATTTTTTTTTTAAATTCCTATTTCACTAAATATTTTTATTTTATATATTTCTTTTAGTGTGGGCCGTACTTCAATTAAGTCATTTTTTTTAGTTTCTTTTAGTTCAGAAAGAACCTAGAGACGAAACGAATATAATTCTACTAAAACATAATTTTTAGTTCAACTTAAATTTTTCTCATTCAATTCCTATTTGAAGTTCTTAATTTGCGTATCATTTTGAAATTTACTTTCATTTCTATTTCATAAAAAATAATGTTTCTTTGTTATTAGTTTTTACTTTTTTTAAGTTTTTTTTCTTTTTGTGTGAGTTATTTTGATAAAAACGTTTGTAAGACAACCTTTTATTTAATTTTTAACTTAATGTTTAAAAAATTCGATTATTTTATACTTTATTTCATTCACATTTGAAATTAGTTTTCTCATTTTAATTAATCGAAAATAGTTTTCAACTCTTTTATTGAAGAAAATAGAAAAATGTATGCTTCGCGTGGCAAAATTGACTGAACCATGATTATTTAAAAATAATTGTTAAATGTTTCAACCATTGTTTAGAAAACTTTCTTAACTATTAGTTAATAATTATGATTAAAGAATATTTTTATTATTACAGAATTTTTTTTTAAGTGTTAATTTTCTTACTTATCTTTATTTTAATTATTTTAAATTTTCGATGGAAAGAACTGACGAAATACTGAAACCTTACACCTGCATAAAAAGTGGACAAACGATACCGTGAGTCCTTATGAAACATTACAGAAGATAACATAATGGGCCTCCCTGAAGAATGCCGAAAATGGTTTCCCTCCAATTACATCGAATTTAGTTGGGAAACTTCTTGCATTCTACAAAAATAAGAAATGCAGGAACAGATTTCTCAGTATTTGAAAAAAGGATGTAAACTGGTAGCCAATTCTGTTGCGACATCTGCTACTGTTACATATTCTATTGACTCTTTACTGCCACCCCAGTTGCAACTACAACCCCATCTGCTGCAACTGGAAACCTTTCTGATGCAATACTGTCTGCTGTAGCTGCGCTTGTGTCTGCAACTGCAACCCTGTTTACTGCAACCCTATCTGTTGCAGCTGCAACTGCAACCCTGTTTACTGCAACCCTATCTGTTGCAGCTGCAACTGCAACCCTGACTTCTACAACTTTAACCCGGTGTACATCGACCACTCCATTGCAAAATTTTAGTAAAATAATCAGCCTAAAGAAACAGTTGGCACAAAAAAGAAAATGATATTAATGGGGAAAAAAAGAACTATAGAAGAAAAAGAAGCAAAATAGTTCCAATCTGTTCTGTAGCAGGAAAGTTCATTATGCCTCTGTTAAATGGGGTTTTCTGCTTTTCGTATATGTGAACTGTTGGAATATATTTCGAAAAAATTGTCCATGGAACACTGCTGTTTGGATAAAATTTCTACAACTGTTTACAGAATGGTGGGGGAGCTTGACTTCCTTTCAGATGTCAAGACGTTCGATGCAGTACGAAGTGCAGAAAACTGCATTTTGGTTTTCGATTCTACGAGACATATTGAAATACACGTTTACTGTATGGTATTAACAACGCCATCATTCTCTCATGTCGCTGGAACGTCTTCATGGGGGGACTTCAAAGGACTACAAGCAGCATATTTTTGTCTGCATCAACGACTTAGCTACAGTAGGCTCACTGTCTACTGGCTGAAGCGTTGATGCTAGTTTAAAACACATACTTTTGAAAATTAAATGCTGCTTGACAGACCGGGGATCTCGTCAAACCATTCGACGGCACATTAAAATTGTAGAGCTATACTGTAAATTACACCCATTCGAAGCAGTTGCATCTAAGACAAAAAGGTCCTGAGGGATTGCAAGGGCAGCATTACAGGAGATTCAACTGTAAGCGAATGCCTAGCATGGCGGATTCTTGTGGCCATTAATTCCTTCAGATATAGTGATAAATTAGGGCCTCTTAACACAATTAACTCCTTTTTTTCAACAAAGGCTGCCATTTTGCCTAATAACTAGATTCCAAGGGAATCGGTTGCACGTACTTTCCCAATTTTCGGACAATGCAAATAATTTGTCTTGGAACTTTCTACCACCAATGAAACCATCTCAAGGTTGCAGCAGTTATTTACGGAAGAAGCCGCTATGGGCGGGATGCAAGTGTTGGGAATCATAGGGAAGTTGCTATCAGGACCCTGGATGAGTACCTTCTATAACACTCAGCACAATGAACATCGTCAAGGAAGTCATTGACTATCTGTAGGTACTGACCGTTGATCCCATGTCTATTTTGTTCTTCTTTGGAAGTCTATTACCAAAGAAAGTGATAGAGTTCCTACTGATTGCCTCCGAAAATGAACTTTTATTTCGAAAAATGATAACTACCTGTTTAAAAGGGGATGTGGAAGTTTTAAGCAGGTGGTATAAAATGTTCTTCAACAAGAGGTTTCTTCCAAGTCAGCGTTAACATCGGTGAGGCAGGACACCAGACTAGCTGAAAGCATCATTAGTGAATTTTGTGAAAGGAAGAAAGAAAGCTTGCGCCTAATGCTTATGTATCAAGCAATGTCATCAAGGCAAAGCGGAATAATGTAAGGAAATTCATCGATGATCTGGTTGCTGAGCAGTTGAAGAATAACTTGCAGTTATGCACTGATTTACAGCAGACAGAAGACTGGACTGAAGAAGATGCAGCATTAAGAAGTCGATGAAGACTTTGCTAGAAGGATCAAGACAAAAGATCTCAAGCAGGAAAAGCGCCAAGATCCAGAAAAACCTAAAGGCTTTGACAGATCTGTCAATGTCTTCTTTGCTTATTGAGTATCTAGACTGTGCACATGACCTGCGTGAAATACTCAACTTTAAGATAGTTGGCCGTACTATCAAACATTTTTGGACACTTGATGGTATAAACCGTGATTATGTCAGCTACATCATTAGTTTTGTAGATCCATTTTATAGGATGTCCTATTTCACTAATATAGACATATGGACAAATATGAAGTTGGCCCTGGCTATGTTATGCGAGATTTGTATCTGGAAAATCAGCCCAACCATTTGGACAGTTGAAAAGGCAATGGAAGAGATATAAAAAAAAACGGCCATTTTCAGGGCCACAAAATATCCCCAAAAATTTTTTCACTGTTACGCATAATAGCAATTTTATATATATATATATATATATATATATATATATATATATTGTTTTGTATATTGATTAAAATAATAAAAGTGTAAACAATTACGTAATTAATAATAAAATTTAAAGTACTATAAAAAATTAATAAATAAAATAAGCGATGTGGGGCCAGAGTTGGAACCACAGAAGGAAAACACAGAACACAGATTAGATGTAAGAAAGATATATTAACAACAGGTTACAGAGATAGGGTAAGCGGAGCTTACTATATGTTAGTGTCCAATACTGGTAGTCGTACGCGGCTCTCACTGTCTCTCTATCTCTCCTTGTCTGAGACTAGAGTGTTGTGTCGCATACTTAATATAGACCTGGAAGAGTCTATTGTGTAGGTAGTTCCGGTCTCACAATAATAAGTTTAATATTTTATAACCATCACGATAACAATTAATAATAAAGAATAAAATAAAAAATAAGTAAGATATTAATAAATATAAATTAATAATAAATAAAATACCATAATATTTGATAACTTATTGAATTACGTCTATTATGGTATTTCATTATTATCTCCATTATTAAATTTTTAAATTAATTTAAGAAAATTTTATAGTATTTTAAATTTTATAATTTTTTCAGAAACTTTCTTCAAGCGTAGGGCTATAAAGTTAAAGTAACTGAAATTCAATAAAATATTAGATAATTGCTGAAAATATTATGTTAATTTTTAAAAATTACTAGATAGTTAAAACCAAAAACAAAGCCTTCAGTTAGATTTCCTAAATTTATGTCAATTCTGGTCAATCATACTTAGGTTTTCAACACGTCAGGCTCTCAATAAATCAATCAACACGTCAAAAAATCAAGAGCCGTAGTTAAGAAATGCTTGTATACTACGTTTTATGCTATAAGCAATATTTCTTTCAAATCATATTAATTTAAGTTTAAATTTGCTAATTTTTCTCAAATAACGTGTCAATAAATATATATTTTATTTTTGGAAGATTTTTAAAACCGAGAATTAACTTTTGTTTACAAATATGTCAAAATGTGTAAAAATGGCTGATTTTAATTGATTTTCTAAAAGCTACCAAAAAGGTGAGATTCCAACCAATATAATTTCTATTGGAAATACACCAGAGGATTTTGCTTACTGGAAATAGTAAATTTAATCATTTAGCTTTCAATTAAAGCTTAAAAGAAAGCTTTAAGAATGCCTTTTCATTTATAAAAAAATAATTTTAAACTTTAGGTGTTGAAATTTTAGTGGAGGTCTCTAATCTAGATGGATGACAGCATGAAAATACCAGGGAGTGTAAGTTTGGATGTGCAGGTGAGGTAATAGATAATGGCTAGGAATTTTTGACCAGATAGCTGAGTTTCAATTCCTATCGGGTTCGTTATATTCAGGTATACGCAAATACAATGTGGAAAGATATGAATCCATCTCTTCTCCTCCCAGCTATGGGTTAATTAGGAAAACCCGTACCACTAAATCATTATTATCTCACCAAAAGAAATTCTTACAATCTAAAAAATATTTATGGCTTTAAATAACCTGCAAGAGTTTGATAAGTCGTAGAAAACGAAATGTGTGTATCTTTTCTGTACGTTCATGAATATTGGCGCGTGTGCGTGTGCAAGATGTATAATAGCATTCGAAACAAAAGTAGATATGATGAGACAAAGTGGAAAAGATTATAAACGACTCGTTTCGCCGACGTTTATTAGATTCGGCTTCTTCAGGTCAGAGAGAAAGATGAAACTGTGTGTAAGGAAAATGCATTTAGATCCACACGACCAGAAAGCCTTCGTCTGTTTCTTAGTTTAGACACTTCTGCTCTGTTCACAAATTCACCCGGTCAGATTTCCCTGCATCAGTGGTTATTCTTGTACAGTTGTATTCGTCTCCCTGTCACTGTTTTTCATATTATTTTCTTGATAATAATATTTTGATCTATTTGGTGATTGAGAAAATTGTATATTTCGGTATTAGATGTAAGTATTCAAGCCCAAATAAATGCTATTTCAATAAAAAACAAAATAAATAGAATAACATATGTATTTTTTCTTTTTATCTCAGGAATTTTATAATTTTAAACTTAATAGAGATTAAATTTAAATTTTAAAATGGGTAGTTTTTAATTTTAATTTCCAATTTTATCGTATAATTTAATACTTATTAGTTAGAATAAATTCTATTTCAGTATAACCCCAACTTTTAAGCATTTAAGTTTTTTGAATTCTCGTATACTTGTATTTTGATTGGTCATTCCAGCTTATGTAACAGCGTTTCCCCTTACGAGGTGAGGTTAATTTGAACTTTTTCAAACCTTTATTCTACATTCAACATCATCACTTGATAAGACACCAGATGCGTTGAAACAAAATGGCTATTTTTGTTGTGATTTTATAACATATTTATGTTATAATTTTGAAATAAATAATTATATATATATATATATATATATATATATATATATATATATATATATATATATATGTGCGTGTGTGTGTGTATATATATATATATATATATATATATATATATATATTAATGAATATCAAACACTTAAAATAGCATAAGTAATAATCTTTATTTCATGAAAGCTATAAAAATAGCTTTCAATCTTTCAGACCTGCAAACCAAAAGGTTCTCCTTGGATCTTTATACTGTTGAAAATTCAATACGAATTAATTTATTATTAAGAATTTTTTTATCTTTCTACATTATTTTTATAGATACAAATATTTAAGTAAATGCTCTGTTTTTTTTAATAAAAAGAATTAACGACATTTACTGGCCCGAATGCCCGAGAAATCTTCATAGAAAATATGTGTCCTTCGACAGGAATCAAACCTGTATCCTATACGCAGCCGACATATGGCCTGATGTGCTTTTACCGATTGAGCCACAGAGGAGTGTTTCGGTTAGCCAGGTCGATTTTACTGTATTTAAACTACAATTCTCCATGATTTTCTCTCGTACATTCATATCTGCTGGATGCGATTCCAAATGTAAACAAATGACGTCAGACATTATGAAATCGACAAAGTCCGACAATTATTTTAATGTCTAAAAATAATTTTCGAACTTTGTCCATTTCATAATATATATATGTGTGTGTGTGTGTGTGTGTGTGTGTGTGTGTGTAAAATCTTGTCACTTAGGTGATTTATGTTACCTTCAGCATCCTGACTCCAGAGTTTCGTAGGTGGACCTATTGTGACCGTTGAATTTTAAAACCAGGATCATGCATGAATATCACCGATCATCGCAAAAGCAATAATAGCAATATTCGGTATACGAAATAGTAGAACAAAAAAGATTTACACTATTTACATTATTCGGACTATTGTCCTCATCTTTGTCGTCTCAAAGACACATGGCACAGTGGGTAAAGGCGTTAGTTAGATCCAGTGACATGACCCAAAGTGTGTGAGTTCAATACCCGGTTAAGGCAGTGGAGAACTTGGAGAGGGGAATTAACAGGAGATAACTGACAACTAACATCCATTAGACATGGCACGTGGAACTATAACAGTCTACCCCATTGAGCGAAATAAAGGGTTCAGTTCGATATTCCAACCACCTGAAGAAGGCCGGAGCGTACAACGAGCGAAACGTAATAAATATAGCGACAAAGATGAGGACAATAGTCCGAATAATGTAAATAGTGTACATATCTCATCTCAGAAATATAAACAGATAAAAAAGATTTACTTGAAGTGGACTGATTTTTAAAAAAACAAACAAATAAACGTGCATTTTCTGGTCTTTGGGTCTTCTGATCTGATAAGGTAATTTGATATATCCCCCCCCCACATTAGTCTTTTTCGTGTGTTTGTTAAAAATGATTACAAACCCCTAAAAACATAAACAAATAAGTTTTTCGTTTCTCAAAAAAGAAATAAAAAGAACAATCAGATTTAAAAAATATGAAAATCTTTTCTGTATCAGTTTTCTGCCCTTTCTTTTCTTTTCTTTTTCTTTTTTAAACTTCTGCCTCTCTCTCTCTCTCTCTCTCTCTCTCTCTCTCTCTCTCTTCTTTCTCCTCACCTTCTCTCATTTTCTTTCTTTTTTTCGTTTCCTTCATATTTTTCACTTTCAACACCTTGATGCTTAATAAGCCAAATGGTTCTTTTTTGTATCAATTCACCCCAGGTAAGGCGATAATGCCACTAAGACGCAAGGGCCTACTGGGATTAAAAGATAATGAAAAGACTTTAGACGGAACAGGAAATCCAATTCTAAACAGAGAACACGGGATAAACCTTCACGCCTGTTCAAATGACCGGGGAGGTGTATGAACCGGACGATAGACGAACTTATGTACATTCTCCTTCCCCGTGTTTGGAATAATATGAAATAATTAGAAAAAGATTGTAATAAATCAATTAATGAAGTAGAGGCGAGAATACTTATCTAGAAAAACAGCATTCAAAATGGTAGCTTTTACTTGAGCTTGAACACCGGCCACTAGAACTATTTCAGCAGCGAGTCAAACCATTTACAAATCTTTCTTTCCTTGTATTTTCTTAACTCCCTTTTTCTCTCTTCCTTCTCTAATTTATTCTTTTCTCTCTTTTTACCCACTCTTTATATCTTTCCTACTTATCGCTTTTCTTTTGTTTGTTCTTGTATCTTTCTCTCTGTTCATATAACTTTTGTTTCTTTTTTTTTTTTACCTGACTTCATCCATTTTTCTGTTCGTTCGTTTTTTTTTTCTTTAAATCTTTCTTAATTTCTTTCTTTTTTTCTTTCTTCTTTCTTTCTTTTGTTTGTTTCTGTTTCTCTCTCTTTCTCTTTCTCTCTCTCTCTCTGCTCATATAACTTTTCTTTTTTACTTTAGTTCATTCATGCGTTCGTTTTTTCTTCCTTTAAATCTCTTAATATCTTTCTTTTTACTTTCTTTCTTATTTTTTCTTTTTCCTTCTTTTTCTTTCTTTCTTTTTCTTTCTCACTATGTTTTTTTTCCAACTGCGATCATTTTTCTTCCACTTCTTATCTTTCTTTCTTCGTATTTAAATCATTCTTTTCTTTTGTATACACCTCTTCCTTTTTCCTTTTTATTTCTCGTTCTTTCTTTTTTCTTTCTTTCACTTCCTTTTCCTTTATTCATGTCCATTTTTTTCGTTCTTTCTTTCTTTCACTTCCTTTTCTTTTCTTTATGCCCATTCTTTCTTTCTTTCTTTCACTTCCTTTTCTTTTCTTTATGCCCATTCTTTCTTTCTTTCTTTCTTTCTTTCTTTCTTTCTTTCTTTCTTTCTTTCTTAGTAATAATATTTCTTTCTCAATGTAATTTTTTTCGTCTGCGATCATTTGCATAAAATTATCACCTCTTTTTCCCTTCTTTATTTATTGTCCTTTCCTGTCTATCATCCTATATAGTAGTGAATGCTCGACAAACTCCTCGCAGATGAAGAGACTTGAAGCAACAGAAACGTTGCTCTTCAGAAGGATGCTGAGGATACCATGAACCGAACATGTAGTCAACGATGTAGTTTTAAAGAAAATGTAAATAAAAAAGGACAATTATACTTACCATCAGAAAGAGGCAGTTAAAATTTCTAGGGCACATAATGAAGAAAGAGGGCTTGGAAAATTTGATCCTCACAGGACAGATTGAAGGCGGGAGAAAGACAAGAGAACAACGTATGACCTATCTATCGAGTTTAAGTAAATGGGTGACGGAACAAGCTTTAGGAGAGATAACAAAAGACAAAATGTATTAAGAGCTACAAATGAGAAGAAATTGTGGAGAGCCATGATCGCCAACATCCAGAAGGGACCCGGCACAAAGAAGTAGAAGAAGAATAAAAAGAACAAGAATTTCTCAATTTTAAATTAATCCTTTCTTTTTTCTTTTTCCTACTCCTCGTTTATTTTCTTCTTTCTTTTTGGCTTTAAACCTCGCACAATAAATTGAACACGCCATTTTTCTCTTCTATGTCTTTACTCTCTCTCTTTCTTTCTTTACGTGTAATCTTTGTCGTCCACCCACTCCCTGTTTTCACTCTATCTCTCATTCATTCTTTTCTCTTCTCTCTCGTAATTTCTTTTCTCTCTTTCTTACTCTTTTCTTTCTTTCATTATTTAGCAGCATTCACTTTTATCTGTCGTATAATTTTGTCGAATAATGTTGCCATTTTCCACTTTGTTTTTTTTCCCTCCCTTCCTTCCTTCCTTCCTTCCTTCCTTCCTTCCTAACCAGTCTTCTTTTTTATACTCACCTTTCTTCTCTCTCTCTCCCTTCCACTCTCCTTCTATCTCTCTCTCTCTCTCTTTCTTTTTGGTCCTTTCACACTTTCTCTTATTTGGTTTCGTCTATTTTCCTATCTATCCCTATTCTCTATCTTCCACAGTCTTCAGAGAGAGAGAGAGTCAGATATTTTCAGAAGTTATTAAGTTATGTATACAAGTTAGACTAAATGTTGAAAATATATTGCGACTTGGTCAATACCGGAAATTAATTGTTTGCGATAAATATTGGAGACACGATTATCTTCGCCCGGAATGTAATTGACTTGGGCTCAATTTTGGGAATATATATTGTATATTGACAAGAATGAAGACGGGAGATTGGGCAAAGAAGAGGGTGAGATTTTTTTAGCTGAACCGATTTCATCTTCTCCGCTTTAAACATGATCTTATAACTTTTATTGAATCAATGTGCAACGATAGCCTCTATGTCTTACTTTTTTCTTTATTAAGTAAATCCGAGGAGATGAATGTTGATTGATGAAGGCTATCAGCAGTGACTTAAGGTAGATCTTTGTTAAACCTGGTAAAAGGTCAAAATAATACAGCATTCTAGCAGAGAAAAAACTAAAAATCTTTTGATAAGAAGGTTTATTATAAAACCTTCCGAAAATACTCAAAACATCATTTATTAAATGAAGAGAACGACTAAAACCATAATTTTCTACGTAAGACTTTTATAAGAGACAGATCAGGCGGAAAATGGAGTACTGTTGCCGTATTCGGGTGGGGACTGCCCAGACCTCACTTTCCAATTCAAAAGCGTTTTCGAATCCTTCCTGCAGAAGAATTATTCCCCCTCCTCCAAACCTCTCTCTCACAGGCGAAACTTTCATTCCTTTATCTAGTGTTCGGGCGAACTGCGTCCCCTGGTTCCACCAGGCCTAATCTACACGGCTAGGACACACCGTGCCACTTACATATTCGCAAATCACCTACATTTCCCCAGTATTCCATCGGTAAGTAGCAAGTTCCACTCGAACAGCTTCTTCCCGCGAACCTCTGCCCTGTGGAACCGACAGCCAACATGATGTTTTCACCGATCACTACAATCTTAAGCTGTTCAAGTCTAGAGTTAACCGTTATATTCCTCTCCTATCCATATAACCTATCCAGAATCGTTAATGGCAAAATGAAAGATCGTTACGATAAGAAAACAGCTGAGCGGAAATTCAAGAAATGAGACGAAGTTCTAATTTTATTAGTCATGAATAACCATCCGCTTAAAGTTAAATTTCAAGGCCCATACAAAATTAGGAGAAAAATAAGCGAACTCAATTATGTAATGAATGCACCTGATCGCAAAGACACGAAGATGTCACATAAGCATGGCTGAAACGTACTTCAGAAGAATGAATGATAAACCCGTATTTCCTATCCATGAATCTTGTGAGGATAGACATCCTAGGAGAAAAAGGGAATTATACATAAGTCGAAATCCTTCACATAAACTTAAGAATTCTGATATATTAGACGATCACGATAGTAAATTAGGACATTTGACAAACACCGAAAAGGACGAGTTAGCTACCCTTATCTTGAATTATGAGTGATTATTACAGGAGTTCAGTTTAAAAATTGAACATATTATGGCGTGGAAAATAAATGTGCCAATGCCTTGTCTCGCATCTAAATTTATACTAATAGTGAAAAGAAAAAGGATTTAATATTTTTTTGAGTGTGTAGATGTTATATCCTTACGCCTAAACCACATTCATTTTACACTTAGCGAACCACGACTCTTTCCCTTTATCTAATAATATAATACACTAACCCTCTCTTTTTAAATCTGTAATAGTAGTTGCTGACTACAAGAACAATTAGGTCAGACAGGCCGCCGACCACAGTAAAATATTCGAGTGAAAGATAAAAATATATTCTCATACACGTGCAGAATCACGTGATCAAGTATGAACGTTGAGCGGGCAATATTAAAAGAAGTCAGTTGGGGCAACGAATCTAGAGGGAGTCGGATTAGCCATGAGAGCGTCATGCGAATGGATTCAGCGAACTGAAGAGAAGGAATGTCATCTCCAACTCACCGAAACTCCCAGTCCAGTCCAAAATGAATTGGAAACCGAGTCTTGTGCGAGTAACATCGCTTTTTACATGTTACCGTCAAGTAAAGAAAATCACACAATGAAGGCAAGATCCAATTCAACTCATCATAACCATGCTGCGTATACCAAATGCCCGGGTGAATTAATAAGTATGATAATCACCCAAGACAAGCATGTGTGACCCACTCAATTGGACAGCGCCAAATCTTCCTACCTTGAATGATGAATTCTACATTGCTGAATGCATGAAGAAGAGAGTGAACGGTAAGCTCTTGGGGTCAAGACTCATAACATTGAAGAAAGATAATATACCAAAAGATATCACTGCTCTAGCGAAAAGAACTGAAAGTAAAATAAATCAAAGAGATATATAAAACGAAAGAAAGCAAGAAAGAGAAAAAGGAAAAGAGAAACCCCTATTTTATTTCAGGTAAATAGTCAAAGCTAAATGAATTTTGACCTTCCAGCTCAGTCATATAATCTATCCATCTTTCCATACAGAAATGTACAGCACACACTTTTCCACACACTCCTTTGCATTAATGTTTTCATGTAACGCCTCGTTAGAATTAAATCTTGTTAATTTGTATATTGACGTTTATTGTTCGTTATCGTTGGTTGTTCTTTCTCAATCGTGTATTTGAACCTGTGGAGAATCCTTTCCACTACTTAGTGTTAAACTTTGCCATATCCTTTGACAACAAGCTGCTTTTTTATCATTTTTTTTTAATTTTATGCCGCGGTAATTGTCCGTAACTCATATCAATCCCTCAAATTCAGCCCCGTCATTCGCACACTCGCCTTTACCTGCAAAACATTTACTATTACTATTTATTAAAAAATAAAATATAATTAATGTATTATAATACAGATAATGAAAATAAAAATACTAAAAACGATTTTAGTGAGCTAAATGAATTCTAGAATCATTATTATAATACCGGTAACACTGCTATATTACTTACTGTATACTTACTTTTGAAACCCTTTGTATTTCTCTTTTCTTAGCCTACACAGATCCGTTTAGTGCTTGCCTTCATTGTTTTGTGTGGGTCATATTTGGTTTGTAGGCACTGTTCAGACACCATAACGTTTTGGATGACACGCGCAAACACACACACATCTATCTATCTATCTATCTATCTATCTATCTATCTATCTATCTATCTATAGATAGATAGATAGATAGATAGATAGATAGATAGATAGATAGATAGAAAAAAACATAATAGACATTCGTTGCCTGTTATATTTAATAATATATGCTTGAATAATGATCTGCTGCCCCAATACAATCTATCTATCTATCTATCTATCTATCTATCTATCTATCTATCTATCTATAGAGATAGATAGATAGATAGATAGATAGATAGATAGATAGATAGATAGATAGATAGATAGATAGATATAGTGTATTGGGGCAGCAGATCATTAAGATATATTATTAAATATAACAGGCAACGAATGTCTATTATGTTTGTTCATGAGCCGTTCTAGATCATGATCAAACATAATGGACATTTATTGTCTGTTATATTTAACAATATATGCTTGAGTATATATATATATATATATATATATATATATATATATATAGAGAGAGAGAGAGAGAGAGAGAGAGAGAGAAAGAGAGGGAGAGAGTAAACGATCAGAGCATATATACAAATTCAGACACAAAAACAAATTCCTGTTACGTTACTTGCAACCACATCACGTCACGGCTCCAAAGACTAAACTACTAATAACCAATAATTTCTTCTATCGTTCTTACTAATACTCATAGTTGACCATTTTCTTCTTCTTCTTCTTCTTCTTCTTCTTCTTATTATTATTATTATTATTATTATTATTATTATTATTTGACTTTGTAACATCCCTTCCACACCCTGTTCTACCATCGATTCGCATAAGTTCGTCACATTCATTTACCTACTACCCCCTGTCCCTTTTTTCTTTGATATATCCTCTTTGGGTCAAATTTTCCACGCCCTCCTTCCACATTATTT